AGTGTAACAAGTAAAATACATACATAGGTTAACTGCACTAGCCTCCTAAACTGGTATCACTTTCTCTGCTCTTGCCTCTGCAGTCTGTGGTCAAAACAGCTGCCGGGGAGAGCTGATTAAAATACAACCAGACCATGTCACTTCTCTGCTCAAAACCTTTTAATGGTTTCCCATCTCCCAGTAAAAAGTCAAAGTCCTTATAATAGAAGAGCTTACACCATCGTAGTGCTCTGTCCCCGTCCCAGCCTCCTGCCTCATCCACCCTTACTCACTCCACGCCATGTGCTTTCTCAAATAAGCCAGGATGCTCCGCAGGTAACTGTGCCCATGTTCCCTCACCTCTTTTGTCTCAATTTGATCATCACCTTCTCAACAGAGCCTTCCCTGTAACCCTATTTAAAACTGCACCCCGACCCTCTTTCCTGCCTTATGTTACTCTAGAGCAGCGGTTCTCAACCTGTGGGTTGCGACCCCTTTGGAGGTCGAACGACCCTTTCACAGGGGTCGCCTAAGACCATCGGAAAACACATATATAATTACATGTTGTTTTTGTGATTAATCGCTATGCTTTAATTATGTTCAATTTGTAACAATGAAAATACATCCTGCATATCAGATATATACAGTACGATTCATAACAGTAGCAACATTACAGTTATGAAGTAGCAACGAAAATAATTTTATGGTTGGGGGTCACCACAACATGAGGAACTGTATGAAAGGGTCGCGGCATTAGGAAGGTTGAGAACCACTGCTCTAGAGCATGCTCACCCTCTAATATATTCTATTGTCTTTTACCAATTTATTTTGTTTACTGGTTACCTCTCTCCATCTAAACATAAATTCCAGGAGGACAGGGTTTTTACTGTTTTATTCACTGCTGTATGCCCTACCCCTAGAACAGTCCCTGGCACACAGTAGGTGCCCAATATATATTTGTTGAATGAATGAATGATTTAAGTGTTGGTTACTGCAGGTACATTCCAAGGCTGAGCTGATTAGAGGCCCAGCAGTACCAGGCCTGGGACCTGCCACAATAAATGAGCTTCATGGAAAACAAAACATATTTTGAACACTGCCGTACGCAAGGCTCCGTGCAGGTGATGAGCTGGGCCTGGAATTAGCCTGAGCTGTGGCTCGCCCCTGTCCTCAGGGGCTTCACAGACACATAAAAACAGGTAGAGCAAGAAAGCATATCCCATGACTCAAATTAGCACCGCCAGATATAAATTTACAGGAACTCAAGTGCAGGAGGTGCAAGGCTGAGGCAAGGGTATTACTAAGAACGGTTCCTGGTTGTAGACAATGGAATCTGAATCTAGAAATGATTGCTTCCTTGGGTACTCCAAAGAAAATTATTCAGAATGAATAAGCTTGCCAGCTCTGTTGTGTAAATAACATCTATTTCCTTTCCTGAAAATCCATAAGCTAGAAATCAGATTTTCTAAATGATTGAAATAAAGCACAAACTGTCTTGAAAGACAGAAAGACCAGGCTTTATGCTGTGAATAGGGTGCGGACCCCACGAGCGCTTTACCAAGATTATGCACAATATAAGCATTGGGTGACCTGAATCAGAATGCCCTGCGGCACAGAATTCTCACACCGTGATTCTTCGTGAACAGAATTCCCACTTGAAGCACAAAAATTCTTCCCTCACTGTTTCAGCCTGTTAAACGAATTGAGAATCGGGCTATGGGGCACAAGACAAAATGATTAAGTCTTTAAAAAAAGCATTTAAAAAATATCCTTTTAAAAAATTGAACAATGCCGTGGAGGCTGGTATTTGGGGAACATTTGGCCCATGGGCTGTATTAGGCCCAAGAAATCATTTGGTCTGGCCCTGCCAAGGCATTAGAGGTGAGTTAATTAAATGTTCAACCAAATATAGCAGGCTGATTTTTAAGGTGATAATGTATGGCCTGCGAATGATGTTATAAATATCCAAATGGCCCTTGGCAGAAAAAAGGTCCCCCACTCCTGGGCCTTAGAGCATGTCATCAAAACACTCGAATCACCTTGAACTCTGTAGTATAAGGCAGACACTAAGCAGAACAGACCATGAGAGTTCATTTCATAAGAAAATATTAACTTTCTCAGAATAAAATTATTGCAATTTACCTTAAGATAACATTTATTAAGTGCTTATTATGTGCCACAACTGTGTGTTTTTACACTATATTAATCAACCCTGATAACAAATGAAGTCATGACAAATATCCCTGTTTTCCAGATGAGGACATTGAGGATCCCAGAGCATAAGAGATTTGGCTAAATGGTAGAGTCTGGTAGTGTCAGAATTCAAATCCAGCACTCTCGAATCCAGGCTCTGTGCTCATTCTACTACACTACAGAAGCAGGGAAAAGCCTGTGAGAATTGTAATGAAGGCAACAAAAACTGTCCCTAATGGAGTTTGCGTAAAGGCCTCTCATCTGAATAGCCAAGATATTATTTCTAGGACCTTGTAGGCTTTCACAGAAATTAACAAATCTGGTTATCTAACTATTTAGTCCCATTATCTCGTGACTGAGAAAATGTTTAGCAGTTAGCGTCTTGTTGTCCATGAAAAGAAAGAACTTTCACACCTAATGAAGATATACTATGTCTTGAAAAATCAAAGACTTTAAGCTGTTTCATACTTTTGCCCCTCATTTTAATAATAAAAATATTTGAAAGTGTCAAGGCTGCTGAATTACAGCAGGGACCAAACATTTTAATGGCTACAATCAGCCCTACACTGTGCCAGGGTAGTTAATAAATTTAAGAGTTCATACATCTTTAAGATCCACATGCTCAAAGGTCCAGAAGGAAAATTGCATGAAAGTGTTTTGTGATTTTGTTTCAGTTAAGCTTATAAAAATAAACTTAATATCATGAACTAGTAAGTTCTTAGGAATGAACTCAGCATCACTGCTACAAGTGGGCTGGAATTTCACTTCTGGTTAAACTAATGAGACAACACAAACAGATATACTAATAATTTCCACACAGGCCCAGTGCTCTGAAGAAAGAGGGAAAAAGGAGGATCTCGGAAAGTGCCTGTGATGGATGGGTACACTGGGGGTAGCCAGGCTTGACACTTCTCCGACCAGGAGCAGAAACACTAGGGGACTCCCCTGTGTTGCTCCTAGAGGGGCAAACGTCTAGGAATACTTCAGCTGGGCCCTCACAATTTTTATGTGGGGGTTTTCCTTTCTGAATCAAGCTCCTGGGCTCACCCACATTAAAACTGGAGGGAAAATGACCATCAGGACCAAATGCCAGGTTTGCAAAATAGGCATGTCATCCTTCTTGACTCCAAAGATGTACCTATGCAACACGTTCTAAAGGCCAGGGGACAACTGCTCAAAATCCTTTCCAAGTCAGCAACACATGGTTAACAGGCGAGTGAGTCTCTCTGGAGAACCCCATTCCAGGAAAAGCAGGATTCCACTTCCACAGGGAATTGGGAGGGAAATGTCAGGGTAGGATTACCCTTGAAAACTGTCCTTAAACAGAGACAGGAAAACAATCAAGATCATCTCATCTATTTGGCCGCAGGGAAATCTAATCACTTTCTTTGTGACATGTGTAATTTGAACAGGGTGGGGAAAGAAATCTTCCCTAAAACCACCCTAAGCCACTTGACCCTTCTAGGGGGAGATACAGTAGAGCTAAGTGGTCAAGACTTGGTTCTCTACTTCTCTGCTTTCCTCCCACAAATGGCCTCTGCTAAGACAATTAGAGAACGCTACTTATTTACTAGAAACCTGACTTTACTTTGCACAAGTTTCTGGAGGAGCAAATCTGGGGGGTTAAGTGAGAGAGCAGGCAACACCAACGATTCTGAGATGCAGAAGTAGCAGCTGCAGACGGGGGCCGGGGTGGTGGGGGGCGGGGGTGCGAGCATGCACTCGGACCAGGAATCAAACCAAGACCTCCTGGTTCACAGGTTGACGCTCATCTACTGAACCATGCCAGCTGGCGGGTCCCAGCTTCTGTTTCCAAATGGAAGGTGGGGACTTAGAAGGAGTCTCACCTCCTGTGTGTCCTCACCTGTGTAAACTCACAGAGTAAAGGAGACAGACATGGCTCCGACTCAAAGAGGAGCATCCCAGAGCCCAGATTGTAAAACAGACAACCTGGCAGAAATCCAGAATCCAAACAGGAACCACTCACACCTCTGAGCAATGGCTCAGACATCCACCCAGTGCAGCGATCTGTCAGGAGTGAATCACTTAAATACGTTTTTGTTGAAAAACAAGCAAATATGACTTGAAAATTATTTTCAATAGAAGAACAGTGTGGAGAGTAAGGAAGTTCAGGGAGCCCATGTCTACAACATTAGCAGGTTGGGGAAGGAGGAAAACTGAGTTCTGCTGGATCTCTTCTTCCCACTCCCATCACCCCTGCATTTGGCACGAATGTGTCAGGTTTTCAGAGCTTGGGTGCCGGCAGTTCATGCCCGCTGCCTGGGAAGGCGCCTTTCCAGACCCTGCCCCCTGGGAAGCAAGGGCAACATTCCCCACCCTACGCCCTGGCCGTCCCAGGCTAAGGTGCCTCTTCCAGTCAAAGGAGAACTGTAATCCACATCTCTGTCCGGGCAGCGTGGTTCAGACCAAAAATTGGGGAGCAGATACCATTAAACACACACACACACACACACACACACACACACACACACACACACTATGTTTGCTTCCACTCGGGAAGAACCCAGAGCTACTTGCTTCCCTTTCCAAACCCGTTTGATCGTTTTGGGTAAAGCAGGACCCGGTAGCTCAGCTCCTGGGGCACCCAAATGGAATCCCCGATGAGCTTTGTTCTTCACATGCACAAAACAACACCCTGGGCGAGGCAAGCTCCCGCGTGGGGTCCGAGGCCGAGAAGGCGCCGAGCGACCCGGGCACTGGGTGTGCAACGCCTGGCCCACCCTCGCACCCGCCCGCCCGCCCCGCACGCGGCCTGGGCGCTGGAGCGCGTGAGGGTGCGCGCGTCGCCCACCCGCCGCGCCGCTCACCTAGCACCACCGCGGCGACGGTGGAGAGCAGCAGCCAGTTATTCTTCAGGAAGCGCTTGTGGTCGCATCCCTTCCTCGCCAGTTTCTTCATGGCGGGCGGTAGGGCTTGGAGCCGCGGCGGCGGCCGCTATAGTGCGCGGTGCTCGGTGGTGCGCGTCGGGGCCGGCTGGGGGCTGGGGGCCGGGGGCCGGGGGCCGGGAGGCCGCCGGGGTTCCAAGGCGCAGTGGAGGCGGGACGCGGCGGCGTCGGGGAGAGGGTGTGCGCTGCCTGCTGCCGCCGCCGCTGTCACTGACGCTGTCACCGCCGCCGCCGCCGCCACCTGAGATTGCGCGCCGCGCCTTTCGCTCGGGGAATGTGCGTGGCGGGCGCGCCCGGCTCCTCCTGCCGCCGCGGCGCTGTGCGGCCCGCGTGCCAACCAGCGAGAAAGGAGGGAGGAGCGGGAGAGCAGGGAGGCGGGTGGTGCGTGTGTGGCGCCCGCGGTGCCGGTGGAACAAGCCTGGGAGCACGCCCTGCGCGCCCGAGGCTGCTGCTCCGGAACCTGCGCCCCGCCCCGCCTTCTCCCGGAATGTCTCGCCTTTTCTTTTCTTTTTCTTTTTTTTTTTTTTTAGATGGTCAGGCTAAGTTTTCGCATTTAGGGTTTCCTCCTGTCCGTAATCCAGAACGGAGGAGCCACTGACCCCTTTGGTTTGGCCTTTACCCTGCACACCCCTTCTGGTCCCCTTTCTTCACACCAGCCATTATCAGCACATCACTGGAGAACGTGGTGCCCTTCTGGGCAGGAGGAGTCGCGGGGAAACTGAGTTCTGCCTTGGGACCCCTTTGCTTTTCCACGCAGCCTCTAGGAGGAGGGAAAGAAAGAGACCTGAACTTTCATGTGAGGACTTTAACCACCTCGCCCCCTCCGCCTCAGGTATTATTAACTCTCCTTTTGAGTGGCGGGGAGGTGAAGGTCCAACGAGATCATCTGTGGACCCAGGGCTTGGAATGGGCCCTCTTAGAACCTCACTTTTGCTCCTTGCGATTGGTTCTGTGGCTGACAAAGGCCCCCAAACTGTGAGTCTTGGCAGAGTGATTAAGACCGAGATCCCGACCCAGCGGTTCTGAGGAGTGGGCGGGCCCCTCCCTAAGGCCAAACGGATTGGAAAGGCAAACAGAGTTGGAGAAACTAGGTAAGTGGTACCAAATTTACTCTGTACTGCTGAGTGAATTTTCTAATTCTCTTCCATTCTTCTATCCAGTTTTCCACCGTTGCTTACACAGACTCTTTCCCTCCTCTCACCACATCTCCACCTTCACAGCTCTAGCCGCCTTCTCTTCAGATTCACTAACATGAAGTAAGCCCTGAACCTTTTTGCTATTGTGGAGTCTACTCTCTGATTGGGGAGGTTGGAGGATCTCCCCAGCTAGATTTTTTGATAACTAAAACCTCACAATAAGAGCTTCATTCTTTTGGCTTAAATTGATACAGCTATCTTTGAAGAGATAATAAACTAAGCTTCACAAACCATATACTACACTTTAGTATGAATGAGCTTACCAGCTCCTTTCCAGAAAGTAAATTTTGAGAGAAGGAAGGGTAGAGGGATAGCAAGGTCATTGTATGCTAAGGAAGATATGAAGAAATGTCAAAAAAAGGAAATTAAGAAAGAGGGGACATAGATTTTCATCCCAGAGTAAAAAAGCTGGAAGTGCTCAGATGTCCAACATGAAAGGAATAGTAAGTATATTATGGAACTGTCATGCGATGGTACATTATGCAGCCTCTGAAATTCATAAGGAACTTTATGAACTTTCTAAAGCACATGTTACAGTATTATGAAGGGAAAAAGGAAGATTAAAATTATATATACAATTTGATCACAAGTATATAAAGCAAACATGTAAAACAAAACCACGAACTTAGAAAAAAGTCTAGAAGGAAATGCACCAAAAATTTAACAATGGTCATCTTTGAGCGATAATATCATTATTGATTCTTTTTGCTTTCTATCTTTCTGTATTTTCAAAAATGTTTATTTAGCATATGAATGCCTATTACAATTGTAATGGCAGTATTTAAGAAGTAAACAGATCCCAATGGGGGGAAAGGGGACATATGTAACACTTTCAAGAATAAAGAATTATTTTTTTAAAGAAGTAAACAAATCCTGAAGAGAGAAAAAAGTGGAAGAAACTAAAATGAACTTTTTACATCACAACCTTTTGAGGTATAGTAAGAAAATTACATCTCAGTTTTGGGAGTAGAATATTTAGGTTTAAATCTTAGCACCACTACTTACCAGCTGGGTGACCTGGTCAAGTTGCTTAAATATTTTGTCTCAGTTTCTATATCTTTAAAATGGGGGTATTGTAAGAATTGAATACAATGTGTATAAAATACTTAGACTACCCCTGGCTCATGTGACTCAATTGGTTGGAATGTTGTCACACACCTCAAATGCCGGGAGCCGGTCCATGCTTGCTGTTTCAAGGGACCTGGCATATATGGCATACTGTTCTTAATATGTTTGCTCACCTTCTTGGCACTATGTGTTTTAACCAAGGTCTCTGAGAAAGGTTGTTTCCCCAGGTAGGGATTTTCCCCTGAAGTTAGGGAGGGAATAAAACCTCTTAACTAAGTGCCAGGTGGGTAATTAATCACTTTAACTACGAACAATCATGCTTAAGCTACATAATCTTTACTCCCTGGAATGGAGATAAGAAACACCCTAACCTTTGTAATAGAGATTGATAGGATTGAATCAACTGGTATAAATACAGATGTAATAAGACAGCAAGAGTCAGAACTTAGAATACAGAGCTTAGAACACAGAACTAAGAAGACAGAACCAGGAGGCACAGAACCTACACAGAACGTTCTCTAGAGACAGAAGAACTTTGCTGGGGAGAACATGGCAAAAGATCCTGGACTGAACCTGACTACAGAAATTGGCAAGAGAACCTGACTAGAACCTGGTAACTGAACCTGGCTGGAGAACCTGGGCAGAACCTGACTGGAAAACCTAGCGAGGGAACATGGCTACAGAACCTGGCTGGAGAACCTAGCAAGAGAACATGGACACAGAACCTGGCTGGAGATCTGAAGCAGAACCTCTCTGGAGATCCAGACCAGAACTTGGCTGGAGATCCTGGCTAGAGATCCTGGCTAGGCTGCTGATCAACTGAACACTGTCTCCGTGTCCTTCCTTCTTCGCCGACTCTGTCTACGTCTTCGGGGACCCCTGGACCTGCTGGGGTTGGACCCCGGCACTCAAAAGGTAGTGGGTTCAATTCTCAGTCAGGGCACATATCCAGGTTATAGGTTTAATCCCTGGTGAGGTGGGTACAGGAGGCAACCAATTGACGTTTCTCTACCTCTCCCTCTCCCTCTCGCTCTCGCTCTCGCTCTTGCTCTCGCGTTCTCTCATTCTCCCTCGTCCTCTCTCTAAAAAAATCAATAAAATTAAATATATGTATATATTTTAAAAGGACTTAGACCAGTGCCTAGAACACAAAAATTATTATCACTAGTTTTACTTTAAGTCAACTCTCTCTCTTGTTGCCTGCCTTTTGTGTATATATCCTGAACCACTTCAGAAGCACAAGAACACTTGTATATTGATCAATAGTAATTGCCCTTTAGAATTGCAATGAACCCTAAATCTATTGCACATTCATGCCTAAAGCCCATATAGTACACATCTGTTTGTTGCTTATTTAAATTATACAAATTTAAAATAGTGCAACATAAAAAGATAAAGTCTAAATATATATATATACTCCTTTTGAAATAATGGAAATCTCCTAAATGAAAAGAATCTAAAAAGTTCAAAGTGGGTGGGCCAAGTGAATTATAAACTGCATTTATGCTATTGCTACATGGCTGTTCCTCTTTAGCTGGTAATAATTAATAAGCAAATAGTTCTAATGCACTTATGTGTTAGGCATCTTTTTAAACCACTCTACACATACTAACTCATTAGGGTTCCCACAACAACTTAATGAGGTAGGGACTATTGCTACCTCATGGGGCTGTTTGAAGAATCAATCAAATGAGATCTTGTGTATTATCATCATCTTTGCTTAACAGGAATCAAAGGCAAAAAGAGATTAACTTGCTTAAGTTCTCTTCATTAGTCAGAGGAGGAGCAAGGATTGGACTAGGTAGTCTGCCGCAAGCTAAATGCAGCAATCCATGCCTTAAAACTTCTACCTCTTACATAAGGAACAAATACAGAATTGTTATGGGAAAATTACTCTTGAGTTATGTGAATTTTACTTTATGCAAGACCTTCAAGAACCCAGCCATCCACAACTAAGATGTCCTAACATGCTGAGCTCCCCTGGAAACTGCATGCATTTCATAGGGTCAGTGATTGAACTCTCAAATTTCTGTCTTCATTGCTGCTATTGGCACCTAATTCTGTATGATTTATTTACTTAAAATGAGAAATGGTATAGGAAGCATCACTTTGGGGAGGGGGTAGAGTAGAAACCCCTAGTGCTTAAATTTAATTCTTTTACTTTCTTGGCCTGGGATAGTCATGAACACAAATGATCTCAAACTGGACATGTATTCAGAGGCATTTCCCTTTTCCTGAGGGAACTTGAACACTCAGATCCTGGAACAAAAACTTCACTCTCCTGGGATATGAATTTAAAGTCAAATAGAAAGAATTTTAGGAGCCCCCCCCTCACCCCCAAAAGAATATTAACATCTCCATTTTCCAGGTCCCTCAAATTCCTTCCTCTTGCTGAAGTACACCTTTGGTCAGTTCTTAACTAGATTACATTTGGCCAGTGTGCTTTTTTAAGTTTTTAAAAAACATTTCAGTAACTCTGGCATTTCCTTTATTGTTATTCTTTTTTTTATTGTTGACTCATGAAGTATGTTGTTAGTTATTACAGAAAGAAATCTTTGACTTTGCCACACAAAGTTAAAGCAGCAGGTAACAGCCTGGTTTTACATATCCATTGCGATAGAAATGAAAAAAAGACATTCAGAAACAAAAAACCAGGTATCAGCTTCTGTTCATTGCTAGAAATAGTTTGCTGGTTGCATTCTACCATCATAAAACATATTCAGTTGGCTGCTTTGTCCTCATGATGTAATAATGGGGAGAAGGAGGACAGGGGGTACCAGAGTCTCCTTCAGCATCTACCACTGTGTAGCCATTCATGACCAATGGATGGTAAGACGGATGCTGTCAACATATTCAGACACTCTTTTTAACAGTCTCTTCTTTATCTCCCAATCTTGTTCTGGATTT